ATACACTAGGGCGTCCGTAGTGTAGGATAAGCACTGGTAAAAGGTATCAAGAATAGAGTGTCTTGAGGAAATAGCCGGTGCATGGTTATAGCAAGCCTGGGGGGTAAATTTACCACCCGCTTATGCATGCATTAGGTTAGAAATAGGGGTAGACAACTTGTAACGGTGAAGTACAAGTCCTATGCAGCAAGCAGCAGCCAGCAGCAGCAGCAGCCGCCTGCAGCCAGCAGCCAGCAGCAACCACCAACCAGCAGCCAGCCAGCAGCACCACGCAGCAGCAGCGCAGCATCAAGCCGCAGCAGCAGCAGCACCACCGGCAGCAAGCACCACCGGCAGCAAGCAGCAAGCAGCAGTAGCAGCGGCGTCGTCAGCCGCAACAAGTAGCAAAGCAGCAGCTACAAAAGCGGCAACCAGCGGCAGCAGCAAACAGCAGCAGCAAGCAGCAGAGCGGCAGCAGCAGCAGCACCCTTTACACCAAGCCACCGTTTACACCCAACCAACCACGTTCAACCAACCCCCTACACGGCGCAGCTGGGAGTTGAACCGCCGGGGGGGGGGGGGGTTAGCTTGATATATCAATCTTTAAGGCGCGCAGCCCCTCCCACCACAACATTGCTAAAGCAAAGAAGAACTCAGCTAGCATGCTAGCTTTCGTGATTTACGTAAATTGATGAATTTAGGTGGCAAAAGTGTAAATGGGTTAGTAAATGTAAATTTGATTTAGGTGCAACCTAAATTTATTTAGGTTGGTCTTCACTAAGGGTTTTTCCTATTTTTCATTACTTTTTGATTTGCAAATATTCAGTCTAAAACACATCTTTTGAAGAAAGTAATTTGTAAAACATATAGCCACAAGTAGAGACATTTGGATAAAACCACAAGCACACGCACTCAGGTATAAGCACACAGGAAAGACAAGCGCAAGAAAAATAACTTGGGTATAAGCACCATGAGCTTTCCCTCCTTTGTCCTGTCCAGGACTTGGTTCACTATCTTGCGCTGTTCTTCTGTGCGTCCCTTCTTCATGCTCAAGGTCTTCTTCCAAGCCTGCGCAACATAGTCTGGCAGAGAGCCCTCAGACAACAAGGCCTTGAACTTGTTGTCCTTCGACCTGTCCTGCTTGGCCTCATCGCACTAGAAGAAGTCTGCATTGTCCTGCTCCTCCTCCTCCTCCACATTCTCTTGGTTGATCCTCTTCAACTTCTGGTGCTTCCTCCTCCTGATCCTCCTGCAACCCTGCTGCCCAGCCATGAGCTGCTGGCTTCTTCTTTGGCTGTACGGTTTCTCCACTGGCAGCAGGCCTTTTCAAAGAGCATGCCTTTGGCTTTGGCTTTGGCTTGCTCTTTCCTTTTGCTTTGGGCTTCTTCCCTTTAGGGCTCTTTGCTTTTGGGCTCTTGGATTTTGGGGTCTTTGCTTTGGCAGCTGGCCTTTGCTTCACAGGTGTACTGGGCTCTTCAACTACACCATCCATCGTCCTTCTCCTCAGGAGTGACTTGGCCCATGGGAATCTCTTCCTCTGCCATGCCAATGCCAACAAGCTACTGCACCTATCCTTCAAACTTTTCAAATCTCTTTGAGATCAATCTAGCTGCCAAAATGAACAACAACCAATAAGCCAGCTGCGCAGTAAACTCTCAACAACTTCAATTTGAACAACGTACAATGCTGATCAACTCTTTGTGCAAAAGCATTACCTTCTCAGGTAAAGGATAAACCAACTTCAATTTGAACAACATACAATGCTGATCAACTCTTTGTGCAAAAGCTTTACATTCTCAGGTAAAGGATAAACCAACTTCAAATTGAACAACATACAATGCTGATCAACTCTTTGCGCAAAAGCTTTACATTCTCAGGTAAAGGATAAACCCACAAGAATGCTAGATATCTTTTTGCTGACAATATGATGCAGAATATCATAGCTTTTCAAAAAATCTGTCAAAAAATTGTATGACTTTTTGATGCACTTTTGATGCACTTCTGATGTACTTTTCAAAAGTGTATACACTTTTGAAAAGTACATCAAAAGTACATCAGAAGTGCATCAAAAGTGCATCAAAAGTTCATCAAGAATTCATCAATATTTTCTCTTAAATTTATAGTTTTTGAACTAAATTTCATAAATACAAATCAAATACACTTCAACTCACAACAAAACTAAACAAGACTAAGCGCA